AGCCACTCGACTAACAAGGCAAGCATTGTAAGGACTCATTTGATTGGCTGGGATTTAGGAGAGCTTCTCCTAAAGGTGGCGCTCTACAGTTTCGTATTTAGCGTTAGAATTTTAAAGAAAAAGAATTTCTTCGGGTTTCCTCACTAGTTATACTGGCTATTTTAAAAAAGACTTTATATATCTTAGGTATTGTTCAAAGAACCTTTAATTCCACTTTATTTTGGTGCATGATTGATGGGTGTAATATGGGTTAGAGAGTATACAGCTTGGCCGTACTCAGATGTGCACCTTTCAAAAAAGTGCTAGCTCTACTTGCTCATATTCACTTCCCGAACTTCAGAGGTAAATTGTAAAAAAAGGAGCCGACAACTTTTTTTTTTTACATTTTATTTATTTGGTAATTCATTCATTGCACTTTCTGAAGATGGTATTGTCTAGTTTGGCATAATTCATTTTCCCAATTTTAATAGCTGCCAAGGATAGTGTACTTTATACAAATTCGGGTTGTTTTTTGGAGCACAAGGAAGCTGTCATTTAAGTTAGCAGTGTGCTAAGATCATTTAAAATTTCCAAAAGTACAATAACCAAAGAAATTTCAGCCTCATTTAATGAAAGTAGCATATAGGTATGCCAACATTATCTCCACTGTGCATGTTTAAAATGTAAACTTCACCTTATGTACATCATATTCTCAAAAGTACATAATAACTGGTGAGTGCCACCATAACCAAAGCACAATAGCGGGTCGAGGTAAGGATTGAAATGTAAAAAAAAAATGGTCATCAATCAAAAGATGTCAACACAACTACATAATCAGTATACACTATATCCATTAATGAAATTCAACCATACATAACAATGTTACCGGATACCCAGGAATCATAATATTGAATACTAATAAATAATCGACTAATATAAAAATATAAATAGTACATAATTAACGTAACCATCATATTCTTCTATCATTATATTATACCAATATTAATATAACAACAAGAAAAACAACAACAACAATAATAATAATAATAATAATAATAATAATAATAATAATAATAATAATAATAATAACCTTATAAAACTAATAATAACATAAAACTACCACTACTACTACTACTTCTACTACTATAATAATAATAATAATAATAATAATAATAATAATAATAATAATAATCATAATAATAACCTTATAAAACTAATAATAACATAAAACTACCATTACTACTACTGCTAATAATAATAATAATAATAATAATAATAATAATAATAATAATAATAATAATAATAATAATAATAATAATAAAGACCAGGGGTCACTAAGAGGCCATAAATCAGAAGAAGGAGAGGGCGTGAATCATTAGAAGATCCTGTCAACACAGAAAGAACTGCCAATATGAAAAGATTTGAAGCACGGAAAAACTACGACACCAACATCAATTGCCAAAATGAAAAGAATTGATAACTACAATTGCCTTTTCGAAAAGATTAAATAGCCAACAAAAATTTCCAGTCAAGCATCAAATAAAGGGACAGTTCAGGAAGCTCTTCCTGCTGTCCCATAACCCCCACCCAACCCTCGCACACACACACACACACATAAACGCCCTAGCTGGGAACATCAAAACAGGCGCTAGGAACACATACTAGCAATGCCTGGGTGGGATCCTGACCTTGGCAAGCCCTTGTCAAGTGAAGATTTCCTATCATGACCTCGGCGTGCAAATGTTTGGTATCGAACAAAGGTAAGGGACAGTCCAGGATATACCTCCTCCCCTTGCTGTTTCATAACACCCTCCCCCTGGAATCGGAAAGCTCTAAGCGAGGGACAGTCCAGGCTGCGCGGCCTGCTGACCCAACAAATGTTTGGCCCTTGAAGACCACAATACAAACATGATCATTTCTAACGGCGGTCAAAATTCCACAACCATCTAATTTCAAGCGGTGCTAGAAGTAAAATGGATGGCCCACCCACATCCAGCTGACTGGCAATAATTTTGACCCATATAAGTACGCTTAGAACACGTAATTCCAACATGAAAAACCGACTCTAGCGATTCACAACTCTTAAATATTCGGTCAATTGATTCGGTGGCTCACACAACATTGGTATAGGATCATCCGAAGGCACAACTGTTAAGATTTGACTAACGTCTGCCTCGCTGAGATAATGTCCGGTGGACTTGATGTTTGGTGGGGTGGAGGCGCGTTGCGCCATTGTGCGTTCGAGTAGACCCGGGATTATGATGGCACATTACTCATACCCTGGCAAGGAGTAAGGCCCAGCTCGGAGCCAAGCGCCCTCTTAAACGGACTGTCGCCATGCCAGGGGTCACTACCAGGTCGCAAATGTACCCGGTACAATACGCGACTATAATCCAGCCAAGCCAAGTCTGACCATCCATACTTGACTCGTCCACCTATGAAGATGTGTTCAAGACTAGCAAATCTGAAAGAGGCCTACGTGTATTTACATCGGGTCAGGCAAAATCTGATACCTAAGTCTGGTGACATTGAAAATGTCAGGGTGATAAGATTGGCCCAAGACCTAATAGAAGAGGTTTTTAAAGAAGATATCAAGAAGGGGCGAGAGAGAGAGAGAGAGAGAGAGAGAGAGAGAGAGAGAGAGAGAGAGAGAGAGAGAGAGAGAGAGAGAGAGAGAGAGAGAGAGAGCAGCAGCAGTAGCAGCAGCAACAACAACAATAGGAGCCAGACACAGGTGTTGTGGACTGCTGTGTGGACACGAAAGAGTTCAGGTATTCAGGTCAGCCCCTTGCTACATTGTTGCCGGTATCCAGTACCGTGATGTCACCCCTGTTCAATTAACCTGGTCAATATGTTCCATTCATCCTTGTCGCTATATAGGCCCACTCATGTTAAATTCTCCTTGTCGCCAAAGAAGCTGTACAGAAGCCAGGTCAAAGAACACTTCTCCTCCCCATGCCACATTTTCAGTGATATATCGCTTGTTGCAATTGCTCACAAACTCAACTGGAGTTCAGAAACCAGGAAAGGAAAGGAATATTAATTGATACGTCACCTTAGAACTTTGAAACCATGCAGTTTCAACCAAGAAGACTAGAAAAAAAGACTGCCATATACAAATGAATTATCTTTTTGTAGTCGACGCACTTGCTTTTAAATAATTGTGGTTACATAAATTTTTATCAGACAAAAGATGTCGTTGTGGCTCATCGATTTCTAGATCAATAAAAATATTTTCCAGCAACCGCAACAAGTTGAAACAAACCAGTTGAAACGCAATAAATGTATAGCTTTAATTCCTGTAGAAACAGCCATGCAAAGTTTTGCAAACACAACGGTATTTGTGTTTTATTTGTTTGTCTTGCCTATGTTTTGTATTTGCCTTTGAAAAAGACTCATTAGGAGTCAAAAGCGCTCGGGTTAGTTAAATACTAGTTTTGCACTGTTCCTTATCAATTTATTGGATTTATCTTAATCAATCCCTGACACACGATATCCCTTGCCGGATCCAGTGCACTTGAAAGGACTGTTATTCACCATATGATTTTCATTCTTTATGGTATTAACTGTTTGAACAACTACCATCAATTGTCAAACATTTCTCACGTAGGGTTCCTATAAGCGGTATATTTTACTACATTGCGTTGTAGTTAAAAGAACAATCTTGTTGAACTGAGCAAATTTTATCCGTCTATAAAGAATCTACGTTTATAATTACATGCATCTTGTTTTGCATATGAAATTATCATGTTAATTATATCATCAATCCTAGTTTTGTCTTTAATTCCAAAGACAATGTCTATATTTGTGAATCTAAATTATTTGTATGATTACATTCATTTTTGATCTATTGCAAAATATAATATATAAAACTCTAAATTATGTGATAGCACAAAAGACATGAGATTGTCTCTGTATATTACATTAAAAATCGTAGAGTTCGTTTGGAATAATTCTGATTCTTTTGAGAATCCCATTTGTAGGCAAAATTCTACGTAATTTTGTCATCTGCAACCATATAAGATTTGAAGTCTAATCTGGTAACAAGACAAAAATCTGACAATAGTCATTTTCTGAATTGACATTTAAAGTTCAATTTTCTTAAAGAAGTTGGTTCTTCGTTATTACCAATCAGTTTTTTTATGCATACTTTTACATCCTTTTTATAATGCTATGTACAACAATACGCATGAAAGGCACGGCAGATTTGATTCATAATTGGTACGAAATTTCTTCTTATATGACTTTATAGCTGCAAGTAGGCATTGCAAATCCATGACATCAATACTGCTAGAAAATCTAGTATCTAAACTTATTCAGGAACCATTCTCATTGTTCAAACTACTTACAAATCTAATGCTTTTCAGAAAACATGTTTTTGCAATATACACCTTATTCCATCTATTGCAAAACAAGGATTATTCCATATTTGTGTTTCTAAAAAATGATCAGCTGTGACTATTTTTAATGATCTTGTTGGATCTAAATATATTTCAAAGATATGAAGCCAAAAAGGATTAAGAGCCTTTTCATTGAATTAAGAAAATCTATTCCAAAATAAATGGATTATTAATATTTGCCACATAAAACTGCTACAAACATTCCAGTTGGATTCATCAGGTAATAGATATCTAATTCATATAAATATCAATGTATTCACAAACTTGAAGATATAAATCATATTTAATTCTTCATGATGTTTAGTCGTTCACAGATATATTTCTTTGATTTTGTTCTTTGACCCATGCCATACAAACTTTTAAAATGGTGTATTTAGTTTAATAAGAATTGAACATAATAATAATAATAATAATAATAATAATAATAATAATAATAATAATAATAATAATAATAATAATAATAATAATAATAATAATGTAGACTTAGTACAGCGACTAATCTTTACAAACTCTAAGCGATTTACAGTATTAGATAACTAATAAAAGCATACGACAGATCACAGAAACAACACCATGAAATTACAAAACAAAAAAAATACTGACAATAGTTAAGGAAGTACCGCTGTGGTGGACTAGTGGTTAGAGCGCCCGCCTCGGATGCGGGAGGTCGCGGGTTGAATCCTAACCGAGTCATACCAAAGACTTTAAAAAATGTTAATAGCTTCCTCCCTTGGCGCTCAGCATTAAGAGGTTAGTGTTAAGACTGGTCGGCCTGGTGTCAGGATAATGTGACTAGGTGGGACATCATGCCACATGACTGCGGCTACATGCCCCAGTGCTAGACATCACTATAAACTGTCACACTGCAGATGTAGCGATATGACTGAAAAATTGTTAAAAGCTACGTCAAAAATCTAAATCACTCACAGTTAAGACAGTAAACATTATATTAAGTCTCTTAAGCCTGTTCTTGTAGTCGAAATAGATGCATGTCATGAGGCACTCTTGAATGAGATCACAGCTTAGTTGTGTTCAAGATCAATTGGTAATTCTATCCAGGTATGCAAATAACTTTTTTTTTTATATTTTGATGGTGGAAACAATGAGAACGTGAGTGTCGGAGAGGAGCGTAAACTTCTAGATGTGGTATAAACTTGGAGGAGCTCATATAGATATATTGGACTGCGGCCAGTCAACGAAATGTGGCAGAGTGAACAGATTTTGTGCTTGATTCCGGATCGAACGGGTAACCAGAGAAAGTTACAGAGCAGAGGTGATGGTCTTCGTACTTTAATGATGATCCAAAGAGCTATGTTTAAAACTTTTTGTTTTCAGTTCCTGTTGTCGATACTGAGACCAACCACACAGAAATGAAAGTACTTAGGAACATACACATATTTTAGTAGTATAAACCGATTTTTTTTTTAAAATTGATGCATCTTAACTCCAAATATGCAATTTTGCATATGTTCTTTATATCTTGGTGCGATGAGAGCGTACTGTCGAGAGTAACATCTAAATTTTACATTTACTGTAAATTTAAAGTTGGTATTGCTGATACTCATTGTTTGAGGTAAAGGATGACTATGAAAAAGGTTTTGAATGGCGATCAAGATTCCTTCAGTTCTATTATTATTCAGCTTGACACATTTGTATATTTGAGCGTCATCAGAGTCCAATTGGTGAGACACTGGATATTGATCAGTGACACTTGAAAGCGGCTGAATGTACATAATGAAGTGAACGGGTCCGAGAATAGACCCTTGTGGGCTGGTCTAAAATGTTTTCCATTTACGGGTACAATTTGTATCCTGTTGATTAACTGAGACTTGAACTACAGTAAGGTTGTATCTCGAACACCGAATACATGCTGTAAATGGTGAAGTAACATATGGTCTTTTATGTCAAATACCGCAGACAAGTTAACTGAACAAGAAAGTATTTCACAAATAAAAGACAACTGTTTGTGCACTACTCTTTATCACGGCAAACTTCACCTGCTCTCTCTCCTAACATGGCATTTTAGTAGTCTCACTATAATGAAAACAAAACTAAAAACTACAAGAAAGAACTCTAAGATCTGTCTTTAATGGTGTCAGCAAACCTTATTCTGAGCTGTTGGGTTTGGGAAATGTATCGTGACTCAATGGATGAAGACCATTACACTCTAAGTTGTACAAATTTTAAACAAGAAATTTACAACATACTTAAATGATCTAGTATGTGTTGTTTTTATAAAAAAAAAAAAAGAACAACCTAAACTTTTAACTCCTTTAGGTATGTAAATATCTTGGAGATCCCAAACGTAACAGTTTCCAGATATGGACTACAATCTCGTAGGTACATATCAACAAAACTCTGGAATCCTGTAATTTTCGAACATCATATTTTAATACTAGTAAATGCAACTTAAAGACCTGGTCTGCAAGCTTACAGTATAAATGTTACACTAATTGTATATACGTGTATTATGCATTAAATGACTTAACACAAATTGTATATGTATATATTATATATTCAATGTATTAACACTAGTAGTGAAGTGGGGAGATATACGGACAATGGGAATAACCATTACAGACCCACCCACCCACACGATTTATACGGACAAAAAAATCATCTTGGGCTTGTATACGGACAAAGGAAACTTTGTATTAGTGACTAGCACACACTGGGCCTGTATAGCGACAAGAGGTATAAAATAGGTGGCATGACGTCACGGTACTGGTCACTTTACAACATTGTAGCAATGTACAAGTACTATGAGGTCAAGCGTTCATCAAGTACTGTGACGTCAAAAGTTCATGTTGGTGAATGAAAAAAAATTATAATCTCGAGGCATTAGAAGTGGCCCTGAAAAGGGCCTTTGTCTTCTTCTAATTTCTCCACTTTTTCCACCAGCTCCTTACTTTCTCTAAAAAATTTTTCTTCTTTGGGAATCCAGTCAGTGTGTCCCATAGCTCTAAATTTCTCTTTCATGTCCAGACTGCAAGGCTTCTTTGAGTACGACAAAGTTTACCACGTGACTGGTGCGATAATTGAGACTCAATCCTTTCACTTTACACTTCGTGTGCACTTCTCCTTGAGGGTTACGGTATTCGTAACCGTAATTTTTGGGACGATTTGATGTGAGGGTAAACGCACAAACTTGTTAGGTTGGTAAGTGGTCACTTTAAAGTTTCCATCTTGTCCAGACTGCAAAGCTTCTTTGAGTACGACAAAGTTCACCACTTGACTGGTGCGATAATTGAGAGTCAATCCTTTCACTTTACACTCCGTGTACACTTCTCCTTGAGGGTTACGGTATTCGTAAGCGTAATTATTGGGACCACCACTGGCAAAACTAGAATCTTATCATCGGGATGCTCGTCTGTCCAGGCTCCTAAACGGTCTCCTTCGAGTTTAGGTTGCTCTTGACCCAATTAACTGATGTAGATGCAACTGTCCGTGTCAAAATACAATACACGATCTCCTAACAGTTCTAAAGCTTCATAGTTTTATGCGAGCATGGGTTGTCACGTAAACCGCAATGATAACATTTCCAAATTCTTTGGCTTCTACAAAATCCAGTTCTTCTTCGTAATTGACTAAGAGTAAGTCCTCACGAACGACGTCCATGTGTTTCATGTATTTGGTTTTGTCCTGACTCATCTGTAAGTTGCTGAAAGGTTCTGACAAATACTCCGTTTTGGGTAAGCACGGATGTTGTGCAATTTTGCACCACAAACAACTTAACATTTCTTTGGCAAACGATCGCCTTTCGTCGTGTCTCTCGATGTAGTCTAAAGTGATACCTTCCTGCTCCCAGTATTCCTCTTTCAATTTTGGTCTTCGGGAGTGTGACACCAGGAATGATAGCCAATGACTTCATGACTCAGTTTCAAAAAAGTGTTCACGTAGTCTGAGAAAATGCTTTTTTTAGTCTTCTCGCCCTTGTGGTATTTTTCTGTCTTGGGAAAGTGGTAAATTTCGTACACTTCTAACAGTTGGTATCCCCGATCCAAAGCTTTAAACAATTTCACGCTGACCCACGTTCCCGTCAAGACGCATTCTTCCTGATTGTGCTGACAAGGGTGTTATTGGTTGCACGTTTCAGCACAAATACGACACAAGGGAAACATCAGTTTTCCTTGGCAATGATGGGGTAACATGGAATGGTACAAGTACGTGGGAGGCAAGACTTTATACTTGATCAATCCTTCGTATTGTCTAATATTGTCCACGTCAATGTATTCGGTCAGCAATTGAGGGTACCCTGCGGGAAAGTGACAATATTTGCACACTTTCTCCTCGTCAGCTTGGTACAGCAAACAGGTAGCATTCGTCCGTCCTCCGTACAAACTACCCCGTGGGTTCAAAGGGTCCACCAGCTTGCAATTTTCAACAATGAGCTTAAACTCGGGATCGGTTTTCAATCGTTGATCATAGTCGTGTTGCCACATTTATATCACTTGGTATCCTTGCCCTTCTAACTTCAAGCGCCGCTGACAATTTGCCTCGTACAACTCTTCCATGGTGCGTTGTACAAACTGGTTTTTAGTGGTACATTGAGGCACAGGAGTCTGCAATTTTATTAATAAAGCACGACTAAATTTCTGATTAAATGAAATTACATTAACGGTATTAAAAAATAATAAAGGAATGCAACTCGACCACAACCCTTCGCTCGATTCGAATTTTCTCACGCGTCTTTTATCCCTTCAGAATCGCACGAAGACTGAAAAACTTCACATATCCATTAAACAAAACAGTAACGTATCTTCTCATCACTCTCGGACGACCATCGCATGAATCCAATCCGGCGAATTAACTTTTATTTTTACCATTACGGTCACAAATCCTGAAGACGTGAACCATTTGAAGAAGTTGCCCATTTCTACCACGGGCTAAATAACGTCATTGAACTAATTTTACAAGATAAAATGTTTAACTTGTTTTTATTTCAGATTGCATCATTTTATAATTTTTGTATCAATTTCCAGAACAGAAATGTATAATTAAAGTTCTGATAGTACAAATAACGGCTGATGACTTCATCATATTCAAATATTAGAGCCTAGACGGATGATGAACCAGGAAGATCCTGCGCCTTGTTAGGAACGATTATTAGACCTAACGCAAATTTACTGCTCAGTAGAAGCTAGTACAAATGGGCTACTTCCTCAAATGGTTGACAGGAGCAAGTTCACAAGTAGGCCTTTTATCTCGAAAACATTGCATGTAATTGTTAGTAGAATTTACTCTTATAAATTCGATTTCTCGACATGTTTCCGTTCCTTTTTATAAATATAATTTGCAAATTTTGGTGGATTGTTATTTATAGCGTAGAAACCTGATCTGTAATAACTTGCTCAAAGAAGAACGTGTATGTATGTATGTTGTATGTTTGTATGTATGTATGTGTGTGTTTAAGTTTATTGTTATAGAATCTACGAGCTAATGTTTATCATTTATGTAAACGTAGTTTCGACTCTAAATAAAATGTGCATTTTGCTATCACACGAGTCGACGTAATGAACACTCTGGTAATCAGTGACGTATAGTAGTTTCATTTGGTAAACAAAGTCCATATATATGCAATGGCGCATAATGAAGCGTTTCTGAGGTGTTTTATGACCACTGGCTGAAAGACCAGATTTTATTTCGACTGAATTCATACTGACCATACAATTTGGAACATCCTCGGCATTTTCCATCG